CTCAAAGTGCCTTTTTAAAACTAAACCCAGGCTTCTCAAGTACAAAGCAAACATAATTCCATTTAAATCAGAGTGGACCCAAGGTGCACACTTTTCAGACAAGCATCCATTTGAACCAAAAATATCAGGACAAAGGGAACAGCTTTAAACACAATTCTAATTCCATGCAAGATGGCATAGTTCTGTGTAGCATTCTTGTGCTTTACCTTTCCTCTTCCAACTTGACACATTAGTACACATAAGTATGGGTCCTAACCAAATCTTGAGAATCACTCCTGTCAACAGCTTGTTAGAATGCAAATGGATTTATTGGTAATAATGTACTCACTGACAGTTGGTGCCTGGTTTTATAATTTGGGTTGTAAATATAAACTATTGTGCAACAAACAAAGGTGACAAAGCCTACCTCAGTTAAATCTGTTTATATGATAAAAAAATAAAATATTAAACTGCTTATAGTGCAACATTCTATCAGCATACATAAGTATACCATGCTTTGTAAATTTACTGTTACAGTATTTACAGTACATTGCAATGCTTTAAACTAGAGGTGAAAGAACAAAATCAGGTAATGGAGAATGTTTACATACAGTTATGAGTCTTAATATTTTCCACCAAACCATCAAGTTCACTTTGCAGACTTGCGTGTCATTCCGGCCCCACACCACAGAGTGTACCTTTCAGTCAGTAGTGGTCTGTTCTGGTTGTAGATAGTGGAAGATGTTTTTAAAAACTGCATAGCCTTCAAGCTTTTCTGTTTCTTCAAACACCATTTGCAAGGAGTGCTGTAAAATACATGAGAACTCCATCAATTACACGTATCTGACCAATCTGAAAACTCAGCGCCTGAAGCAAGATCAATATTCATTTCTGTAGAGCCACAACAAAGCTGAACTAAATGAGAGCCCTTTTCCAGCAGTCTAACTAAGAGTTAAGGATGGTATTTTATAGGAAGAAAGCAGTTCAAGGACTCCTAATCCATTATTTAAAATTCTGAGCTTTAATTGGAAGCTAAGCTCCCAGAACACAGAACAAAATATGAGAGTGTAGAATTCCGTGCTGCCTTATTTCATGTTCTATAAAGCTTCTGCTGGTGTGCACTGCTCAAGCTGATAAATGAATACAGCAAAAATGATGCAGTAACTATGCCTGCAGTACTTGTTTAGTTTGATATCACTGTCCTTGTGTTAGAGAAATAAGGCTTAATTAAATCAGAATAATTAACTAAACTGGGAGAAAGGACTGTCGTAAGAGCCACTTCATACTGCAAGGAGTTATGTAAAATCCACAAACATTGCAAGGACAATATTAAGGACAATCATTTAAAAGAAAGACTAACCATCAAGCTGTTCTTAGGAGTAGGCTCTGTGACTTTTATGTCTCTTGCCCTACAACTGCTAGAAGGAAAAATCTTTTCCTCATGTTCTCTGAGGAACATCTCTGGAAGACTTTCTAGACTGCACACCTATTTCATAGGCTGCAGCAGCCCTAGAAGAGCTATTTTAGATGACAACACTGGCTTAAGTGGCAAATACTACTATTCTCACATCTCTGCTAATAGCAGACAAGAATCAGAAGAACTTCAGGCTGCTTTTGGGCAGGGAAAAAATGTCAGTGCAAGTCTCAAATCCAGTATCTTTAATTTTCAAGTCTCAGTGTTTAAGCCTTTCATAAAAGACTTGATAATAGCTTTGAACAAGATACTGTACCTCCCATGTTGAGAATTCTCGTTTCTACTGGCATTTGGCTGCAACACGAAAGAACTGATTCACCTTCTCTCCAGAGCATTAGGTACCTATTAGGGCTATAGTGCATTTCAGGAATAGGGAATTTTAAAATCTTTTCTACAGCATTACTCAGAGTAAGCTAAGATCTAGAAATACTTAAGTAAGAGCACTAGTCCTGCTTCAGTGGGAGATGATAGAATAAAAATCCAAGTACAAAAACCTCAGTCCATTCTACTGTGCATTATTTCAATAGACTCTGTGTAACTTCACAGGCTGTGAAAAAGCCAAGCACTCAGTACAGCACATTTCTGACATACAATAATTTACCCACCATCCTGAGATTTTTGCAACCTTACCTTCTGTATCTAAAGTAAGTATTTGGGACTTTGTGGTTTGTTTCTCTAACACCCACATTCCTGAGCACTTTGTGCTTGTGCTCTACGTGGTGATCTCAGCTGTCTCAAGGCAGCATCTCCATACTGAATACCTGAGCCCATTCTTTCTGGATCCAGTTCTCCTGATGAGAAACAAAATGGTCACAAGAACATAGATCATGTGCAAATAATATATTCCAAATTAACAGATAACATTAGATGTAAAAAAAATTTGCATAATTATATTCTGATCTAGTTATGGAGAGACTATTGCAATTTTTGTTTACTTTTAGGCAATTCCAAACCTGAACTATTTTCTCCTGTCATTTAAATATGTGCCCTTAAACACAAAGCAACCTGTCTCAGAGTTAGGCTGCAATAAGAAATGTATTGGCACTAACTATTTCTAACAAAAGAAAGGTCCAAAATATTTTCTTCAAAAACACAGTTAAAAACCTCTTGCTTTCAGAGGCTCATTGCAAAGAAAGTAGCACTGTAGATGCCAAACAAAAATGGATCAATCGGACATAAGGGTTCCATTAAAAACTGCCCCCAGAGGAAATGATCAACCTTTTCCACTTCTGGTATCCATTTCTGCCTACTTCATACTTTGTGCCTTCAGCAATGTCATTATGGCTGTTTGGTGCTCTGGCCAAGATTAGAAATACCTGATCTTAAAAAAACCCCAATCAAACAACCAAAAATCCCTCTGAACAGCTCAGGTCACTTACTCAGGTTCACTGCATACATGTGATCCCTTTGTAAGTTAGCAGGTGACACCATGCTGAGGGGACCAGTGGATAGCTCCAGAGTAGAGCTGTCATTCAGAAGAGCCCTTGGCTGAGCCATGGGAACAGGCCAGCAGGAACATCATTACATTCAGCAACTACCATGCAGTGCTGTGCACCTGTGACAGGACACCAGCAAGCATTGGCATGAGCTGGGGACTGACTATGTAGATAGCAGCAACTGGTCAGCATGGGCACATGCTGCCCAGAGGGGCTGTGGAATCTTGTTCCTAGAGCATCTCAAAATGTGCCTGACAAGTCCCAAGCAGCTTGCTTGCAGTTTGAACCTGAACATGCTTTACACAGGAGGCTGGATTAGAGGCCTCCACAGGTTCTTTCTACTTCCATGTTTCCATGATTCAGTGCATGTGTGCTGGCACAAAGGAAACAGGGGCAGCTCACAGAAAACAGGACTTAATTCTGTTGTGGTAAAGCCTCTCTAAATCAGTCATGGAACTACTGTATCGTGAGAAAGTATTTATACGTTGCTTTTTCATTTGGGTTTTGGTGTTGTTTGGGTTCTTTTTATTTGTTTAAAATGAAAGCTGCTGTTTGGCATTGATTTTATGCAGTAATCAGAAAATTCCTATGAAAATACCATATTATTTTCATCTAAAAATTTGTGTTTGGCATTCAAAACATGTAATTAGAATTGGAGACAGATTTTTCAATATGGCCAGTACTTAAAACTTAGAAGATATCAAGCAGTAAAAGAGAGGAAAACAGGAATGCAGATTAGCTGTAATGACACCTAACACGTAGGAGCCAGTCTCTGATAGAAACCTGCCCACTTGTGCTGAGAAGCTTCTGGTATATTTCTAGATCTGTAAAAGTAAAAACGCTTTCAACTGAGAGGCAGGAAGGTCACTTCAGAGAAACACAGTTGCTAGGAAACTTCTCCAAAATTTTTAGTATTACTGTTCACATTCTCTTGACTGCATTTCCTGCTTACATATGAGAAGCACGATTAAAAGTTCTGTCTGCCCTGATATTAGCCTCTCATTCTGCATTGCAAAAGCAGTCTAATGTCAGGCTTGCTATTTGTAGGGCCACAGCAACCCACAGAATGCACAGCCTACACTCAGAGCTGAATGTTAAGGTAAGCACTGTGTAAAAATATCCACAGTTCACACCACCACCCCCTTTTAGACATACAGATCTCACTTAGATATCCATTCCTATTTAAAACATAAGGGAAGCAGCTATAAAACAAATGGGTTATTTTACCACAATGAAATTCTGGGGAGTTTTGAGGGGTTAATTCTACTAGAGAACTTTGAATAGTGGTATTTCCAAGCATACTTTTATTAGTTTTCAGAGAAAATTAAAAAAACTCCAAAACATTTGAAGAATATAACGCTTAATTTACCTGATTCAATTTTATTGAGTATTTTCCTTGCACACTGTACAAAGGCCTCTTCAACATTCTCCCCCGTTAGAGCACTTGTTTCCAAGAACATGAGCTCTGCATTTGACACAACAGAAAAACAATCTCAAAAAAAAAAAGTCTGGAACACCAGATACAGTAATTCAAAGCATGAAACCTTAGAACAATAACAATATTCTTATGGAGATCTACAGTCAAATATGGTCCAGAAAAATAAACTTTTGATGGCAAAACCACAAAAGACTTTCTTTGTAATTTACATATTAACCCTAGAAAGCTGGAACCCAGAGATAATATCCTGGGCTGTGTGTGTAAAACAGCCCACGAATATAACAAACTTCTTACAGTTTCCTGTTAACACAAGTTACATGCAAAAGCAAAGTCAGTAGCCGCAGTTGCTAGAAAAGATTGCAACTGATTTATAAAAGCCAAACCAGACTTTGCTGGTGGTGGGACTGCAGCACAGAAGCTCAGACCAAGACTGGCTTTAGCTGCCACAGAAATGTGTTCTCTGACTGGAAATTCTGAATACTACAGACCAGGTAATAGTCCTCTGGATCCAAGCCAGGCACTCATCTCAGTTTCCCATGAGTAAAACTCACTGCTCCCAACTGCAGCACATCACATACAACCTCGTCTATTATCTATTGCATCTGTAAGATGCTGAAAAATAGGAAATCATGTTCTTCATGCTCTTTGAAGGCAGGGCAATACCTGAAGCTATATTACATTCCCTAGGGAATATATCTCCACATAGAAGTGAATTCTTTAAGTAGCAGCTGTGACTGGAAGAATAATCGGTAATAAGACTTTAATAGTACATGCAGTTTTCACTGCAGGCACTGTCTATGCCTCATGTGCTGACAGAACTCTTTCTGGTAGACAAGGTACAGTGGGCAAAGCACACACTAACTGCACACAAAAAATAGGATGATTTTAAGTCTTCTTTGAATGCTACAGGAAGATTTTGTACCACTTACCATTTTCTTGTGCAAACCGGGATGCTTCTAAAAAAGTAACTTCACGATCTGCATCAAGATCCTTTTTGTTTCCACACAGTATTATCACAATATTTTGACTTGCTAACATTCTTGCATCCGTCAACCAATTAGTAAGCGCATTGTAGGTTTCCCGGCTATGTAGGAAATGACATCCTTTATTAGAACACACTCCTCTCTCATGACCAGATCACTGAACCAAAACTCAGACAGCAAATCTGTGTTTCTGGCAAACAACAAACTGCTGCTAGTCAGGCAAGGCACCTACACATGCCAGAGATGAACTTGGAAGAGCATCAAACTCCTTCATGCAAGCATTTAAAAGCTTAAGATTTTAAAAAGCAAAATGAACTCTACCACAATATATAAACACACACTATTATAAAACACCCTGTTAATGTGAAACGCTAAATTTTGAAGCTCTAATCTAGTTTCAGCCTTTTGTGCATGACATTTGGGATGACAGAATTAGTTACTGTTTAACTTGGAATTCAAACTTAAATTTCAGGTGGGATTCTAAGAATTTTCTAGGCTTGTAGAATGCACACCTGAACTCTCACATTCATGTCAAGACCAATATTGCAGGCAGTCACCCTGCACACACCATCAGCCATCGTAGCAGTGGTCAGAGGTAAAGCCTTCAAGCAGTAAGACTGACAGATGAGTCCAACTGACCTTAAGCACAGAACACAGATTTCATAGGCTGCTAAGAGAACAGTCCACTCACAGGACAACAAGCAACAGTTCTAGGGAATCATCATTAACCAACACAAAACCCATCTGACAAGCACCAGTCAATGGTGGCAGGAACAAATGTGGAGATGTGTAATGGTAAGGTATTTTAGTGGCTGCCTATAATATGAACATATTAAAAGATGCAGAGATGAACAGACTTTTGGGCTACAGTTAAGGAATGCATAGGCAGAGCTGGATTCTCCAGAGGAGGACCATCTACACACTAATCAGCAGTTTCCTGTGGCAAGGCTTGCTGTGCCAGGGCTTGTGTGTGGTCCACCGTGACTAGAGCAGCCACAGGGGGGCACCAATACCCATGTACTTGTCTAACCCCTTAAGACTGTTTACATTTCTGACAGTCACAGTATCTCATGTAAGCAAGTTCCAAAACTTGGATATGCAGTGAAACAGAAGTATTTTTTATGCTTACTTTCTTTTCCTCCTGCCCATTCTCTATTAGAGGATTAGGTATTTGGGGAGGAATCATTCTGAGTTCATTGTGTCTGGCAGTCTGTAAACAAAAGAGCTCCTTGTTTTCTTACCTGGTTATATCATAGACAAGCAAAGCACCTGCAGCTCCTCTATAGTAACTCCTTGTTACAGACCTGAAACAGAATTACAGATGTACATTTCTGTAGTGTCTTTATTGTTTAAAATCTGGGTTAATATAAATTAGGCAATCTATATAATGAAACAGAAATCTCATTTGCATACTTAAAACAAAATGTGTTTTTAGACAATCTTATCAGCTGTGCAGCAGCAAACTATTTATAACTAGACTTTTGGTGAAGCACTTCCATTAAAGGCAGCTGTACAGGGATTCTCAAAGTCCATTATGACCTGTGTGCTGCCAAAGGTACACATCTTTTAATACATGGCCTGATGCAGAACTGGGAGCTGATATCTGGTCATCACACTGAAAACATCTCATTAATGAAGACTACAGATCCCTGCCCAGCTTTACTGAGTCAGAGACATAGCCAAAGAATTTGTCTAATAGAGGACATTTCCCTGGATTGCTGCCCATTACTCAGACTTCCACCACCATACTCACCTTTGTTAACCACTGCCTCTCCCCAACCAAAGAAACCTCCCACATACACTCCACCCACCGAAAAATCTAAAAAAATTGATGTCCTATTTGATGGTTAATGTACTCAGGAATACATGAGATTTTTACTGGGTTTGATCTATGCCTCTGATGTAGAACACAATTAAAATGCAGCATTAAAAGTACACTGGTGGTTCTAAGCTGACAAGTACATTGCTTTTTCTTTAACAAACTTAAGCAATCTCAGTCCTCCTAGAAGTGTATTTACCTAAATGAATTGGATTAGTTTTTCCCTGCCTCTAATAAACTAGAATTATAATGTGCAATTGTTCTCATGCAGATTTTGAACAGCTTACAATTTCCTGGCATTTACTTATTCCAACCAACAGAAGGTCCTCTAAACACAGAGTTAAGCATATACACTTAGTAAAAATAATTATTACAAGTTTGGTGAACAAGCTTTTAGCCACCTATTCTGCTCATGAACCTTAACAGAACCTCAGATCCTGCAAGGCAGCACTGCTTTCCTGCAGTCAATGGATCTATGTTGCTACACAGCTGAAAGATCTGGCCTAGTTAATAATATGAAAGCAGACAAAATTCCACTGACCAAGAAACCCTAACTGCTTATATGCAGGGATAAATAATACCCAACACCCACAGCAACAATTTAATAACACTAAATAAAATGATTGAAAAGCATACCTGAATCTCTCTTGTCCTGCTGTATCCCATATCTGCAATTTTACATATTTACCACCAACATTTATGATCTTTGAGCCAAATTCCACTCCTATAGTATGATTTGAGTCCTCTTTGACTTAAAGAAAAAAGAAAATAAACCCAAACTTATTTGAAGAATATTGAGAGCGAATAACTAGCTTTGACACAAAACAATTTAGGTATAATTAGAACTCCTCAGTGTTCAAATTACAACCTACTTCCTGGACCATCAAATACAATGCTACTCGTAAGTCTGCTGCTTCCACACAGAAATAAACGTTCTCACAATTTTTTATTCAAATTTTTATTGAGTACAATTCAAAATTGCTACTGGAAAGGCCTGCTTGAAATAGCTTCCAGTTCACTTTAATAAATGGCAAGAAAACATTTGTACACTTTTTTCCAACTGTGTTTTCTAATACTTTGACACTATTTAAAATTAAAATGCATGGTAAAGCAGAACAAAAAAAAGAAAAATACACAGTCTTGTCCATGAATACACAAGAGCTACTTCTTTACGGCACAAAGTTAAGGCACTTGCTCTGTGTATGTGGCTGATACCACAGACTCTCAGCAATACACAACCCGCCTTACTAAGCAAGGTCATGTTTCAAGCTCACTCAGAATCATGCCATATTCCTTAGTGCTCACACATTTATCACCCTAGCACTGCTCCTGAAGAGATAAGGTGAATTACCATTTGGTTGAGAAAGATAACAGTTACCTTAGATTTAACAAAGGTTTCTAAACGCCTATTATTTTTGTTTAATCATGATGCCAAATGCACTACCCAACAGAAATTTTTCTTTGATATTACCTATTCATTTCTAAATAACAATCACAAGGGATTCTCTGACAGTATTTATCACGGAACACAGCCATTAACAAAAAACCAAAACGGAGTGACTATTTAGAAAGAAACTACAGCTTTCTAAACCTATTTAAGCAATTCAATTTCTCTTCCATCATTTTTTTCTGAAAGATCCAAGTCTCCACTATATATCTAGGGACGCAATAGCTGCAAGATATAACTCTCACAGAAGGTAAGTCTGTATTTTCACCAACATCCTGTTATGTTTATTTGAGAGTAATAGAGAACACTGCTCCATATTAGGCTTCTGATTAGAGGCAAATAGTGAGCAATAGAGACTTACAGCATGGTTCTGAACATAATTCTTAGCCAAAACCCTCACCTACACAAATAGGACAGTTAGGGGAACTTTCATACAAATAACAGATACTCATGTAGGCAGAGCCTTCATGTGGTACAAAGCAATGGAGAACTCTTACTGTCCTTCACATATACTTACACTTTTTTTCAATAAATTGGTGTAGCAAGCAGGATTTTCCAGTTCCAGCATTTCCTATGACCAAGAACTTAAACAGGAAATCTGAAGATTGAAAGAAAAGGCTAAATTTTAGTATGGACTCACATTTTTGTTATACAACCAAGTATGTGAGCTAGCTATTCTCCAGTAGCTGTTATTTCAAAGACAATGGACTAGATAACAAAATTAGCAAAACAACAATAAACCTGAAGAATAATCCAGTGTGCAATAGTGATGTTACAAAGGAAGAGCTAAGAATGCTATTTGTTTATGGAGAGACAACAATGACAAAAAGAGACTGAAATGGCTGAATTTGAATTCAGTTAAAACAGGCTGAATTACAGGTATATGGCTGGTTTGTACTGCAGCAACCTGTTTTAAGGGTATGTCAGCTACTACCTATAGTCAGCACAAATGTTCTACATAATGATGTAATTTCTTAATATCTTTTTTTTATTCACATTAATTTGAACTTCTCTATACTAAACAGTTTAATACCCATACTTCATTTTAACCCCTGTAAATCTGGGAAAATGACAGTATTTCTCTACAAAATTTACAGGGAAGAAGTAACTTTTATTCTGGGATGCCTACTTTCACATTTCCTCCACACGGTAAATTAAGACACAGATATTTCTGGCACTTTACCTATTTATGAGCCATTTGCATCAGTGTTCATTAATAATACACATATTCAAGATTTATGGCCCATTTGTATTGCTTTAACAGTTACATATAATGTTTTAATACTACCTCCCCAAATCTGCTTTCAGTTTTGCTAAAGACTGAAGAAAGTTTCCCTGTCTTACTACCCAAGACTGGTAAAGTTATTAGAAAGCTTAAAATTGCTTCCCCTAACACACTGGCACCAGGGCAACCTTTACAGCTGATGCACAATTTGCCATTTATTTTTCTACCAGCAGCAGACTTTTAAAATCTTTATTGCACAGTTTCTCCTATAAACACAGCAGGTCTCCAGAACACATCCTGTAAGCATGCAATGAAAAGAACTAAGTTTGCAGTATCAACCAAAATAAAAACACTTATTTTGTTGACAGTGTTCAAAGCTGCCAAAGGGGTTACAGGGATACTGGCCCAGGAGACAGCAGAATAAAAAGAAAATTTGATCATGCTAAGCAACTCAAAGCACTGATACAATACTCCAACAGAACCTCATTTGAGTATTTAGTTTTAAAAATTGAATTTAAGATGCTGGCAGACAAATCTATCTGCTGACTCCATTTCATGCAGGAATTATTTGTTATATCATAAACACCCCCTAGCAGTGGCAAAGGGAACGAGCAAGTTTCTCAAACACTATGAAAATTCCCACTGTTAAAAAGTCAATAGCAAAACAGAAGGCTACAGGCCCCAGGAATGTCCACCGCCCTCTGTGTTCACTTGTCTTCCAGATTCTGTTCCTATTTACAATGAGGTTGTGTTTTCCTAAGGATCTCTGCAATCTTACATTTTGCCTTCGCATGATTTTTCTTGTTTCAAATGCTGTAACAGGCTCTGTATAGAGTCTGTATTCTACCCTTCTCAGAAAGAGATTGCTGTTTCTTGCTCACAAATGTGACCATGTACATGCTCAAGACATACTGTTCCACACTCCTTTCATTATTCATGCCCCCACCCAGCTGCTCATGATTTCTGGATTAAAAAAATTAGTTATAAAAAGAGTTTTCCTTCAGGTTGTGAAAATGTTGTGTGTTATGTCCCATAAAGAAGGGCCCCTCATGTCACCTCAAGTGCAAAACACACTGAAGCCGGGAATGCTTCATTCTATCAAATCTTCACTGTTAGTATGAAATGTAGATACCCTAAAGAGCTCCAAAGTGTCAGGTTAAAAAAAGTTAATCTCGAAAAAAGCCAAGTTTCAATTTTTATGGATCAAATATCACTGGTTAGCTGCCTTGTACCCCATTTTGTATGTTTAAACTACCGTGGGTGTGTGTAATCTCACTGGTTTTACCACTTTACCACTGAGTTCCTCAAAATGCAAGATGTTCTGAGATACAGACACAATTAAAATAATATTTCTGATTGCTGTCATTTTTCCAAAAATAAATCTGAAATCCAGTTAAAACTGGTTCTACTGTGTATCTGGCGAACGTCGTTTGTCAGATTTTCTTGTCAAAAACAACTATAAAATTCATGTGTACCTTCCTTTTTTCCATGGAAGACTAACATTATTGACAGCAGTATAACAGCTACTGTCAAACTAAACCAGGAAAAGAATAAACCCAGAACTCAATTCCTCCACAGATTTGCCCTGCGACTGTAAGCACTGGTGCTAAATGTGGCTCATGAAGCCATAACTGTGCAACCCACAAGCCCAGGCTGAACAGCAAAATGCAACACACTGCTCTGTTCTGCACAGACAGGCTGTGGGCCAGAAAGACACTGAGACAACAATGTCACTGCCAGAGACTGATCTGTAGGAGCTGCAGAACAGCATCAGGTATTTCCTGAGGTGCTTTAAGTTGATGTGCTTTATATTTTGTGTTGAAAGCAAAGGTGATATTTGGGGATTTTATAATCACGGAATCACAGAATGGGTCGGGTTGAAAGGGACCACAGTGGGTCATCTGGTCCAACGTCCCTGCTCAAGCAGAGTCATCCCAGAGCACATGGCACAGGATTGCATGCAGATGGTTCTTGAATATCTCCAGTGAGGGAGAATCCACAACCTCACTGGGCAATCTGTTCCAGTGCGCAGTCACCTGAACAGTAAAGAAGTTCTCCCTCATATTTAGGTGGAACTTCCTGTGCATCAGTTTCTGCCCATTGCCTCTTGTTTTATTGGTTTGCACCACTGAGAAGAGCCTGGCTCCATCTTCCTGGCACCCTCTCTTCAGATACTTCTTAGAATAATAGAATTTT